ACACCAATCGGCTCGTGACGTGTCATGGACATGTACGGACCATCCAGAGGTATTGTTTTACCAAATATCTTGTCAGACCATCCGGAATAGTAACGATAGCAGCGTATGGCGAGCTCCAGGTCTCCGGCCATAGCAATGTGGAATGGTTTCCCATTGTCAAGTGTCTCTAGTTTGGCCAAATATTCTCTGTCCCTCTCAATCAGGTCAGCGAGTTTACCAATGAGCCTTCCTCTCTCAGAGGCATCCATTGTACGCCAGACACTACCAAGCTTGAATGCTTCCCTTGCAGCATCAACAGCTTTATCAACGTCAGCCTTGTCTCCTTCAGAGACATCACATATCTTCTCCCCATCAGTAGGATTGATGGTAGGGAAGGTCTTGCCACTCACAGAATCAACCCATTCATTGTTAATGAACAACTGTGTGTATTTGACTTCTACACCAGATGTGCTGCCAGACACTTTACGCTTCTTTGCACTAGGTTCATCTGCTGCTGCTCCGTTCATTGGTTAATTTGGCTAAATTTGCTTTGAAAAGTGAAGAGAAACCAATTTAGCTAATTTACAAGATCAGGGCTCTATTAACCTCTGGCTCTGAGACTTGCAGCTGCTGCGGAGCCTGCGCTGCGGTAAAGCAAGAAGGTGTGGCTAGTCTGTAAACTTTGGCGGCAAAAGTTTATGCGCATGCGCAGAGCTAATTAGTACGACTGGCAGGGGATTTCCCCTTACTGTGTTCTGGCTGTCCTCCCTTTATCCCTCGTTCTTTCCTCTTCCCCACTGAATCTGAGTCATTATGAACTTAGAAACGTCGTTGGTGACTGCCGAAAAAGGGTCCACTAAAGTCTACAACTGGGACTTTGCTGAGGGCAAGTGGGTCAACTTCTCGCCCACGCACAAGTACAGCTTCATCAAGATCGTCCAGAAGAAAACACTGTCTGGCAACGAGTTTTTTGTGGTGATAGAACCAGATGAAACCGATAATGTATGAAATGCTATACCATAATGTACTGTGAATGATTCTTCCATTGTCTTTCCTGTCTTTATACACATACATGTGTACATGTAGAGACTAAGGTTCCATCTGCCCCCTGATGTACAAGTCACAAAAACTGGTGACATGATACAGTTCGCAGTACCTGATCCACAAGATCCTACCGGTGGAAAACTCATTGCCATCAAATTTGAAAGGAAAGATTTAGAGACACAATTTACAATGACGGCCGGTCGAAGGATAAGTAAGATCGAGATTTTTATTGAATCATCTACCTATGCTACCCTCTCTCTCTCTCTCTCTCTCTCTCTCTCTCTCTCTCTCTCTCTCTCTCTCTCTCTCTCCCCTTCCTCCATTAGATGGCTTTATGGCTATCAAACCAGCTCAAGCTCCTGGTGAAGGATCTAGCAGTGGTATGTATGTGTAGTGACTAGAAAATGATTCTCATGTACATACATGTAGTTTTTGTGGGCATTTTAACCATTCTAGCCATTCAAAGGCTAATGCCTTAAATTATCTTATCCTCTCTCTCTTATACACACACATGTACTTTATACCAGGTCAAAGATCAAATGATTTGAATAAACCTCTAGAGGTTAAGAAGCAGAGACCTGTTTATGAAAATACCTTTAGCACTGATAGATATGATGGCGCCAGCTATCAGTCTCCCACTCTTCCTTCAACTGGGACTGAAGGAGCTGGAAGGATTCAACCACGTCAGCAGCCATTCACTGCAGCTATTCCTGCTAAACCAGCTGTTGAAACAAGGAGTAATAGATCAGGAGAAATTGGACAATACCACCAACAACCAGTTAGACCTTGTGTTGTATGTACATGTGGTTAATAGTCACTCTCCTCTCTCTCTCTCTCTGTCTCTCTCTGTCTCTGTCTCTGTCTCTCTGTCTCTGTCTCTCTCTCTGTCTCTCTCTGTCTCTCTCTGTCTTTCTGTCTCTCTGTCTGTCTGTCTGTCTGTCTGTCTGTCTGTCTGTCTGTCTGTCTGTCTCTCTCACTCACTCACTCACTCTCCCTTGACATTTGTAGATTCCTCCAGTTAATAATCTTAGCAAACCAGATCCTTCTCCTCCTGTTGCTAGACCCAATTACGGCCAGGTACCTCCTCCGGCCCAATATGGAGGAGGCTCACAGGACTGGAGGCCTGTGGATAGACACCACAACGAGGAAGGAAGAGGAGGAGGAGGAGGAAGTAGAGAGAGATACAGCGCAGAAATGAGAGGGAAAGAGAGCGGAGAGAAAAGAATCAGTGGAGAGAGAAGGAGCAGAGAGTTTGGACAGCAGAATGATAGAATGGGCCAGCATTATAATGACAGAGGTGGTTACGACAACCAAGATCGTTTCCAAGGTGACAGAGATCGGTACCAAGGTGACCGAGATCGTTACCAAGACAAACAGCAGGGAGGCTATGGCAGGGGTGGGGCTAATTATCGAAATGAGCAAGATCGTTATCGCGACGATAAGCGTCACCAAGGTTATTATCAAGGTGGCCCACGTTACCAAGATAGTCCTCGTTACCGTGACGACCAAGGCGATTCTTACCAAAGAGGTCGGGATGA